TATCCGGATACAACGTTTCAGTATCGATACTTTTTTGAGTTTCGATACTTTTGACAACCCTAGTCAGTAGTATTGATGTGAAACGTACAATAACTGATTATAAATCAAAACATATTTTATTTGATCGTCTAATTTGACGCATTTAATTCATAGGTGTGGAAGTTAATAAGGAATTGAAATAAATACAAAATAAAATCACATTATAAACCTGTATTTATAAAACTGGAGCTCCACTGAGTAATTCCCTTATAACATTTAAACTTGATGAATTGGGAAGAAAAATTATAGTCAGACTGATTTAATTAGTTGAACTTTGTTTTCATCCAGACCTGAGCTGCTTTGATGAGCTCTGATGACTCAGAGTGGAAACCAGCTGATCTCTCCATCCAGTCTGTTCCTCTGCTTGGTCTGGATGGAGTTAAAGCTGAACTCAGACATGTTTAAAACCGGGAGAACGTTTACAGGATGTCCTAACTTTGGCAGGCGTGTTGTCTAAACGCCACTTTCTATTTCCTGTGGTTCTTCTGAAGGAAAGCAATGGTCCAGCACCAGATCCAGTCCTTCCAGCGTTCATCCGGATCAGCCGTGGCCAAAACCTTCAGGGTCAACTACAAGCGCCATGTTCTGACCATGGATGACCTGGGCACGTTGTATGGGCAGAACTGGCTCAATGACCAGGTAGGACTCCACTGCGCACCGCTGGAAGCTAACTTCCTGTTGGGCAAAGTCATCAAGTCAAGAAATGCATGGAGAAAAAGTTTTAGATTGACTTTGATGTTTTATTCTAAGCCATTGATCAGCTGGAAAGTTCTTTAGAACGCAGCACTGATGTCATGTTTTACACTCCATTAGAGTTACAGGCTGTTAGCTAAGGCTAACAGGCTAACGGCTACACATGTTTGACTTTAGGCTAACGGCTACACATGTTTGACTTTAGGCTAACGGTTACACGTTTGACTTTAGGCTAACGGCTACACGTGTTTGATTTTAGGCCAACGGCTACACATGCTTGACTCCGGGCTAACGGCTACACATGCTTGACTTGAGGCTAACGGCTACACATGCTTGACTTGAGGCTAACGGCTACACATGCTTGACTTGAGGCTAACGGCTACACATGCTTGACTTGAGGCCAACGGCTACACATGCTTGACTCCGGGCTAACGGCTACACATGCTTGACTCCGGGCTAACGGCTACACATGCTTGACTTGAGGCCAACGGCTACACATGCTTGACTCCGGGCT